TCCAGGTTTGAAAAAAGTCATTGCCGACTAAAATTCTCAGTTCCTTTCCTCGAAACATTGCCAGCAGGAGCAATTAGTTAATTAATGATACAGACAACAGAGTCTATTCCCAAATACACCCTCCTCAACCCTGTTAGCTTATTATGGACATGGCATTTCAAACATGGCGTATATGCCACAAATTTTCCATCCCCTGTTTAATTATTTTGTAATAGTGTTCACATGTTGCAACAACTCCATCTTCCAGTAAATTCAACTACTGGCAAACATGAGAAAATACCATGTAAAACTTTTCAACCTATTTAATATAGCCAACGACAACATCAACTCAACTTTTAAACTGAAGAGCAAACTTGATTGATGTTTGGAATTGATTTCTGTGATGTGGTAATAAAATCCAGGTATTATCTCAAGTTTTCTTGAAGACATCCACATTATATGCAGTTACACCAGAGGTTACCGAATCATTAAGGGAAAATATCAGAAAAAGACATCGAGTATTTCCAGCCAGAGGACAATCATAAAACAAGAATAGCCGTGAGCGAAAAAGTTTTTAAAAAATTACAGGTTCAAACACGAGTTGAAAATTACATTTCTATTTAATTTTGTACGCTAAACAGAGGAGTTTGAAACGTTAGAGAAAAACGGTGGGGCAGGCAGTTATACCTGGCAACTTAAAGAGAAGATATAAGTGAAGCCCATACGATTCTGGCGTATTGTTTTACTGACTTACTGTGCTCACGTGTATACACTCCAATCGACTGGTGATGTCTTGACGCAAAGTAGTTTGCCGTCGTTTCTTTCACTTTTGGCTCATTTTCCCAAACCGAAATTATAATTGACGCTCAATAGAATATAATTTCAACTGATGCTGACATCATACACTTCATCTGAAAAAGAAAACATTCCCTATATTCGAAAATTTGCTAAAAACATTAAGAACAACGACGGAGGTGCTAAGCTGTTCTGTTTAAAGATACCGCTGACTATCATGCGTGTTGATCACCTTGCAAGTTGTGAGAAAATCGTCCCCAGGTTCCAGACCTCGTCTGGTCTCTTAATCCGCTTGAACGGTTTTATTACAGTTTTATTCAGCATAATGAGGGGCTGGAAAATAAATTAACAAGAACTCTGCTTTTAGGCTTGGCTAAATCTATATATTACTGAGAGATGTTTCTTTCTCTATTACCTAGAGATGTTTGCGATGAAAATTCTTCGCTAAACTAAACTTCATTAATTACACAAATACGTAGTTGTGTCGCAAACTAATATTTATTCACAGATTTCCTTCCATCTTGAAGTAACAAAATAATTATTTCCATTCATTTAACGTTTTAAATGCAAGGCACAACCAAGATTTCTTGCCAAAAACAAATTGTAGTATTTGGTACGCGAGAACCTTTCAAGTCAGTGTCTTTGAAAGGTAAATGAATATCTCTATCCAAAATGATGTTTCTGAAGTTGGAGGAATGATAGATTGTCTCTCGTTGCAATCACAGGTAACCATAAAGGAAAAGGAGTACAGAAGTATGATGGCAAAAAATTATTTAACAGGTGGAGGAGTACAAATGGAAACATATCAAGAACTGTAATGTCACTTCCTGGGTTTGAATAAATAATTTTTGCACTTGATGCGCGCGCCTTGCTTATGCACAATTATAAGCTATCTCTTGCGTTTTCATATATATTATTACTACGTAATCACATGATTACGAGTGCAATTTGGAATAAATAAGCACTTGTAAATTTTTTAAAAAACGACAAATTTTGTTAGCCTGAAAAAATTTCCGGGAGCTTATTTATTCAAATTGCTTTTGTAATCATGTGATTACCGATACAAATGGAGGCTATTGTGTTTATTGTCCATCGAACATTTTTTTTTTTTTTTTAACCCAAGGGATTGCAGCGTGAAATGTTGATTGAATTGAATTCATTATTGAACGAACGCTTGTGCTGTTGTGGACTTGAGGCTAAAAAGATTGTTGAATATCACTTGGGATAGAAATAAATGTATATATATATGTGTGTGTACATTTAGATCAAAATACATTGTTGTATATTGCATATAGCAATGTATATATCAATAGACATCGTTGTCAGGAATGTTTGTAACCATTGTTTATTTTCTTTACAAATTTACCGCCACGCCTACTATGTAAATTTGTAAAGTATCTAAACGATAGTTACGAATATTTTGAACAATAAACTCCCCTGATGAGTGAATAATCACGACACAGGCTTGTTGGGATGAAATTATAGTCTCTTTGTTGTTTCCCTATCTAAATATATATAAATATATGTGTGTTTATATGAATAATTTATATGTTGGCATCTGAAAAAATATGTATAGTTTTATTTATTTGGAAATAGTCACGCGTTAATTTTTTCTTCTTTTCAAAAACCGATTAAGATATTTGGCGAGGACTTTTTCACTTTCAACCTGAGGCTGGAATCACTCCCTCGTTTTACTTTCTTAGAAATATGAAAGTGGATGATAAAATTGAGCTTCAAAGAGGTGAAAAGGAGAACTGGTGAAGTTATTTGTTTATAGACAGAAAATCAATTTCAGTTTTTTAATCACACTTAAAAAAGCCTTTCGCGTTGAAACCCATACGAGCCGGAAAAAATGCCCGCTTATTATACTCTTAAATTTATCTTGCTATTTGAAAGATAACCATAATGCATATGAAAATTTAAATGCTTTTATCACCTGTGAGAGATTTGCAGGAGAGAGCACGAAACAAAATTGAATATTATCTGATCTTATTGAATTCTCGTGAAAATCACTCGTTTTACGAAATTAAATGTAACACATTATCATTTCCTCTGGCTGCTAATAATTTTTTTACCAAACAAAAGAGTTTTATCATTAATGTAAACGGATACAACTTGGAGATGTCTGCGTTTGACCCGCAATGACAAGTCATTCCTGAATTAAACTCCTCACACAAATAAGTAGTTATGTCGCACAATAATGTATACTAACAGACTTCACTTCATATTCTGAGACATTCAAGTATAGACAGCAGGAATGAAGTACCAAAATAATTGTTTCCATTTATTTAAAGTTATTAATGCAAGCACAACCAAGATCTCTTGCCAAAAACAAATTGTAATATTTGTTACCCGAGGACCTTTCAAGTGAACGTCTTAAAAAGGTAATTGAAAGTCTCTATCCAAATGCTAATCCTCCTTTTTCAATTGAAAAAAGAGAATCAGCAAGTCCGAAAGGCTTACTTTGGTTCTAATCGAAAGGGAAAACTGGATGATGAATGCCCTGGTATAAAAGGGAATTAGTAACGTGACATAAACAGAAAATGTTTTGATGGTGCAATATCTTGCTCCCCTCACTGTTTTCGTTTCTAGCTGAGTCGAGCGCGAAACGGAAAGTAAAAACCTGGTTGGCTTTGTTAACTACAAAGTTAAACATGAATATCTTGATATCGTTACGAGAAAATTAAGTGATTTTTCCGTGTGTTTGTTTGGAGCATATTTATTACTTTTTCAAAATATTAGCCGTTCTCAGTTCATTCGAATTTCTTCATTGTAATGTTTTAAAAAAGATGAAAGGTAACAGTAAGTTCTTTCAACTTCTACCTCGCCGCCTTTGTGCACCTGAACATCGGTCCTTTTCTGATCTTATTCTTAGTGAACATTATTAAGTAAATACTCCTTGTAACGACATTTTCTAGTAATGTACTTCTAATGGAAGTTGAGAGGTGAACTTACGTCCGTAAATTAGTTCTTTCCATAAGATAATTTTTCTCGTTGCCTCTTGTTCAAACCAGGAGCCCAAGTAATGGATTCCTGTTCAAACTTAACACCAATATCGCGTAGAAAAGCAGACATTTAAACTGACTTCTCACTTTCGCTTGCTAAGATAATTTTTTTTTTATTTGGAGCTGTAAGTTCAATTTCCGCTCTCTAAGTTACTATCGATAACTTCAAAGACACATTTTCCGCTTCTCAGTTTGTGATACTTTTCAAATATTGTAAATTTAGAGAACAATAGAACCGCACGCTCGATAGTACTTAAGGATGTACCTAAAAAAGGTTTTCGGGATCACATAAACGACTGCGTGGCGATTACATTAATGACTGTGTGGCAATTACGAAGTTGAAGACGCTTGAGGTCATGTCGGTTGTCGACATGAACTAAAATAAAGTTGCTGGGAAAAAAAAAAACGCTGTCTAATCCTTGACGTCCGCAGCAAGTTTGCTTGAAGCAGGTCACCGTGTACCAGGAATGTGATCAAGTGGTCTCTACCGAGCTATTTTCCCCCGTTATTTTTGCGTTGCCCGCAAAACTCCAGTTAGTGTGAAAAAAACCTATCGTCACAATATATATGTTGGCATCTGCGACCAAACCTTGGATTTTGAATACTTAAATGTATCTGGAGATAGCCTTGTGTCATTATTATTTTCTAGACCGTTTGAAATCTCTGGTGAGTACTTTGTTTTTCTAGATTTCTGAAGTTGAAAATGATTCTTCTCAACTTCATAGAAGTTATATAAAAGCTTAATTACCAATCCTTAAGGCGGCGGATCCAGGATTTTACATGAGTGATTTGCACTAACTTAACTAGGGGTAAAAGAAGAAGGATAATTGATTTCTTGACCTGATAAAGAACCTGAGAAATAATAAAAGCACGTTTGGAAACATTTGAGTGATTTCTGCCGGGAATCACTCGAACTACTCTGGATCGAACTGTGCCTTAAAATCAAAGTTAATCCAAGTTGCGGGGAAGAATTTGTCGTGCTATCAAAAAATGCCCATTACAGATGTCTTATGTTTTTCTCATTTGCCAATTTATACCCGAGGCACATACAAAAGTTCAAAAAGAAAACGTTTTGACTTAATAGCCGATGTTTTAGCATAGTTTAAAGAACGATCTCCCTAACAAGTTTTCGTATAATCATTTCTGGGCGGCTGCTGTTACGATGAATTATTTCTCGTTGTAATCACAGGTAACCCCTAAACGAAAAAGGAATATAGAAGTATGATGGCAAGAAATAATTTAACTGGAGGTGGTGTACAAATGGAAACATATCAAGAACTGTTATGTTCCCCCTCTTTGGCAGATGAGTTACAACAGCAATCAATTTATCTCGCAATGGTAAATGTGATCCTCGCTCTCACTGCAATTCTTGGTAACTTTCTAATCCTTGTTGCCCTTCGTAAAGAATCTTCCCTCCACCCGCCATCCAAACTTTTGTATCGTTGTCTGGCAACAACTGATCTGTTGGTTGGTCTTGTTAGTCAGCCTCTCTATACTATTTATTGGATATCCATAGCTAACGAACACTGGAATGCATTTTGTGGAGTATCTTTGGGGACAATGACGGCCATAACCGTTGATAGACTTCTTGCGCTGTTGTTGGGGCTGAGATACAAACAAACTGTAACTTTGAAGCGCACAAATATTATTTTAGCTGCCCTCTGGGTTTTATCTGGTGTGGCTGCTTTATGCTACGTTTTAGATTACCGCATAACCTTATGGTTTACGTATATCTGTATTCCATCTTGTTTTCTGATCTCAATGGTCTCCTACACAAAGATATTTCGCACCCTCATTCGTCATCAGGCACAAGTACAAGTTCATGTTCAACTACAGTCGAGTCAACCAAATTCACTGAACATTTCGCGGTACAGAAAAGCGGTGTACAGTGCATTGTGGGTGCAGTTATCGTTAGTTGTTTGTTATATACCATTTATCGTAGTTGAAATCGTGATTGTAGAGGCTAGTAAAAGAACATTCTCCTCGCATTTACTCGTAACCAGAGGAAAAGCAGCAACCTTACTTTACTTCAACTCCACATTAAATCCATTCCTTTACTGCTGGAAGATTAGTGAAGTGAGACGAGCAGTGAAGCAGATAATCAGACAAGTACTTTGTTGTCCATGGAGTTAGATGTGCCTCGATTGAGGAATTATTTAATTTTTTATTTTAGAGCAAAGCTGACTTTATGGTTTATGGTTTCTACATGAAAACGCTTGTCGGTCACTTTATGAGATAGTAATGAATATGAAAGTTAACCACTTTGTTGCTCGAGCTTTAGTTAAAATTCTCTATTTCCAATTGAGTAAATAAAGCGGGAAAGAGTCTAAACAAACAGCAGCTATATCTTGAGGGAACTTTACTGCATGCCGCAGTGCTTAATATGAATATAACGACTAGTGATATAAGCACCTACGATGTAAAAACGAACAGGACGTTAGTCCGATATTATTTCCTTGGTTTGCTTTCTTAGTAATATGAAAGTATTGAATGGAAGTGAACTTCAAAGAATATTAAAGAAGAGCCACTGAGGCTTTATTTGTTTAATGTTGATCAAATCAAGCAGTTGACGTTGTTGCCCTTTTGCCATACGAGCCGGTCACAAGTGAGGAGATGCTTTTAACGACAACACAAATTGTCAGAGAGTACCTTTAAAAATATTGACCATCACTGATTCTTATTGAGTTCTCTCGGAGGTTGATAGTTTTTCCAAAATTTAATGTAACCACATTATCATATTCCCTTAATTAGCTGCCAATTATTTTTTGCCTGAAAAATGGGTTTTATCCTGTATTCTGGGAAAATAAAACTGTCAGATGTCTACATGTTTTACTCTTTATGCAAATTCATTTGTAAATTAAACTTCACTGATCAGTGAAGACAAACATGTAATTTAGCCGCGTATTAATGTTTAATAACAGAATGCAACCCATATTCCATGACATTTGAGGAAAACAGCAAGAAAGAAATGCCAAAGCATTAGTATTTGTTGAGTACCTTTTACCGTCTTTTTAGTGATATAAATGCGAGACACAACCATGAACTCCTGGCAAAAAATGCAAAAGTTTTATGCGCAAGAAACTTTCAAGCTTCTATTTCTTACAATAAGGCGGAAGGCTGAATAAAAATGCTGTTATAAGAGATGAAGTCTTATAGGTTGTTGAACGAGTTTTACTGGATCTTAACTTTCCACCGAATACATCCAGCCGCAGTGAAGAAATTTTCCTGCTTAGAATTTAATATTGGAATTTATGACTGCCCTTGTCTAAAAAGGGATCCTTAATTGCAAAAGTGCCTCACAACAAAAATAACTTGATTTGTTATTATTAAACAGAAATCTAGAAGAAACTGATATCATAGGGTTTAATAGGCCAACAATTGCTCCTGATAAAAACGGAAAATATTAATGATGAAGAGGGCACATAAAGGAGATAAAAACAAAAAGCACAAAAGGGTTTCGAGTCGAAGTATCTTTCTTCTGGCAAATTCTCGTTCATAGCTTATTAAGTAACTATTCACCAAGGTGGAGGCGAATAAATGAACTATGACCTTCATTTAGCGCGAAAATACTTACGGATATTTGTCTGTAGACACTATCTGTTCCGAGGAGCGATCATTTTTCTGAGAGCGACGCTCAAGGAAAACTGTGGGCCTCGAGAAACAGATATTATATGAGAATATGTAATTTCGCGCTTAGTGGAGGCTATTGTGTTTATTTCCTTCGAACAATTTACATTATTTTAATGCGCGGGATTGCTGTGTATTCAACAAATAAACATATCCCTTCTTTTGCAACAGCAGCTAAACGCTCTTTTTTCTTGAATTCAATATTAAACGAACGCTTGTATTGTTGAGGACTTAGGGCTTCAAAATTGGGGAATATCGCTAGGGATAAGAATGTATATATATTACCATAACATTTGTTAGCATCTGTAAATTTTCATAGTTTTATCTATTTGGAAATTGCCACGAGTTTATTTTTTTCGAAAGCCGATTAACATCTTTGTCGAGCACTTTTTTATTTTAACTTACTGAGAGTAATATTACTCCTCGCTTTACTTTCTTAGAAATATGAAAGTGGGGGATAAAATTGAACTTCAAAGTGTAGCAAAGGAGAGCTGTTCAAGTTATTTGTTTATGGACGGTGAATTATTTTCAATTTTTTAATCATACTCAAATAAAACGCTTGACGTTAACAGCCTATTATCATACGAGCCGATCACAATGCCAGTTGAACACTTCAATTTTTTTTCTTTAAAAAAAAATTTCCATAATACATACGATAATTTAAATATGCTTTATCACCTGTAAGCAATTTTTTGGAGAGAGCATGAAATAAAATTGACTATTATCGGATCTTATTGAATTTTCCTGAAAATCAATCGTTTCTCCGATATTAAATGTAACACATCATCATATTTCTTTTAACTGCTATTAAATTTTTCCCTTCAGTGTGAAATGAAAATACCAACAGATGTTTCCGTTTGACTCGTAATGAAAATTTGTTCTTAAATTAAACTTCACCAGTTAGACAATTACGTAGTTGTGTCGCACACTAATATATATTAACACACTTCCTTCCATCTTGAAATAACAAAATAATTGTTTTCATTTATTTAACGTTCTAAATGTAAGGCACAACCAAGATCTCCTGCCAAAAACAAATTAGAGTATTTGCTACGCGAGGACCTTTCGAGTGAGCGTCTTCCAAAGGTAAATGAAAGTCTCTATCCAAATGCTGTTGAAGAAGTTGAAGTGTAATAAGTTGTTTAACGAGTCAAATTAATTCTTAACCATCCATCGGTTTATTTCTGTCCGAGGTTCTTTAATTTGTTTTTCTCATGCGTAAGTATTGGAATATAACTGTCCCTATCAAAAAAGGATCCTCGATCGCTCAAGTGAATCGCGACGACAAGAATCCAATCAGCTGCCGTACACATGACAGCTACCTTAAGACTTTATTTTATTTTTAACCGAAAAAGAAGAGGATCAGAGAGTTTAAGAGAGTGTCTCTGTAAGCGCGGTCCGGTCGATTTTGCTTGAGACACGGATTTCGCTCGTTTCTTGTGTGTTGTAAGACATTCATGTACCTATACTAAAACAACAATCAGTTTGATCGGATCTCTTTACTTTTCGGAGTTTTACAGAAATTAAATTTCACTCGAGCGAAGGCTTGTCGTGACACTTTTCAAAACTTTAATTTCATACGACTTTGGAGGACAATTTACAAAAAACTACGGAACTCAGCAAAAGACAAATACCACAGCCATATATATTAACTTTATCTTATCTATCGAGGCGACTTTCGTAAACATCACGTTTCAATCAAGGAAACAGGAAGACTTGAATGACACCTTATCGGTTCGCCTAAATCACAGACGCCAAAACCGATCAGATTCGAGGTAAATTTTTGAAAAAGTGAGGCGTTCTAAACTGATCCAACTAACATAGCTAGGAAGTAGGTACCATAGAAAAGGTAACTACAGAAAAAAACTTTGCGGCCCGACCTTTACGAGAACTTTATAACTCCGTGAACTTACCTAATTTTCGGTAATCTACAAGTTTGGCCGCCATTTTGAGGGACTTGTCAACATGAAGCGTAACCGATATAAATCAAGCAGGTAGATCTAAAACCGTCAGAAATACATACGAAAGCAATTCAAATGAACTTTAATTTCAATTCAAGCGGCAAAATTTGAAACCGTTCGTTAAACTTACCATCCCCATGCGACCATTTCTTCCAACAATTCAAACACTACGAATAGTGTTCGAATTTCCCTCGTCGATTCCACCGTAAGAAATAACCTGTGCCACCCAAGCTTCGACTCGAATGTGAAGTACGAATCAAATAACACAACTGCTTCATCTTCGCGGCAATATCACGCTGGTATTTTGATTTTCCGATCGACAAGAACGGTCAGCATTAGATTCCATCCACCAAAACCACCTCGGTCGAGAGGGACTGAGGTGGAATATTTAATGACTTGCAAAACATAACCGAAGATTCTCGGAAATCCGCAAGTGATGTAGCCGAACATTCGAAGCTGTAAATCCTATGATTCTTGAGGAACAAACAGAAACAGCATAGCGAGAATTTTAAGTCGCGAACCATTGCTTAATGGTAGACATGCAGATAATTTAGGATACGTCAATTCTGTTGATGAGGCGCATAAACTTATTGCGGAATTTGAAACAGGATTGACGACGAAGTTTTCTTTCTCTAAAGCTGTCAAAGGTTTCGGGAACACCGGTGTATATATATATATTGATATAGCTCTTTGGCATTACAAAGCTTTGCTATCGCTATTGTGCATTCTCACCACTTTATCTAGTTCAAGTCCTCTGGCATGGCTTGGATGATACCACAATTGTGGAATCATTCGGGTTAACTTAATGCTTACAACTCCTTCCTCGGACAGAAGTCACAAAATACTCGGGGAAGATGCATGAGATATTTAAGGAGCAAAAATTCGTTTTTTACTGGTGTGCCTTTCCTAATTTTGGGAAGGAAAGTGTTCAATTGCCAGCACGGCATAGATAGAACAGCTGGAGAGAAAAGGAAACGAAAATATGCAGAAGAAGTACTGTATATAATAATTTCTTTTTATCCTCAACCTTTGTGTTGCTGTCAACTATGGCTTGCTAATTCTAAAGGTCAAATACATGAATGGGTCATATGACATTGATCTCAGAATACTTTTATGACAAACGTCATAACAGTTCAATCTTGGCTAAATTGAAGATGGTTTAGAAGTTAACAATTATAAGAACTTTTCACTAACATATGCTGCTGACAAAGGAGAAAATATATGCAATTCTGCATTTTTTGCTTTCTATCAAGCAATCATATATTGGCTCCTTATCACACTATGACACTTCCGTTTTGTCACATTCCAAAAAATAACTTGAGAAATACACTGTCACTCATCTTACACTGTTATATTTACCTATTACAGAAGGCTGGAAACAAAGATTTTGTTTTCAAGAAAATAAGATTTCTTGTCCAAGACACAAGGAAGTTTGACTGCAAAACACAGATAAAAATGCGAGAAATTTTATTTTTTTCAGAGAACAAGGTAGTTCTACTCATGTATAAACAGAACAAATCTGGTTTAATAAATCAGATATGCGGC